ATTTCGCTAAACGAAATGCTCGAAAAAAAGTGATATCTTCATGTTTCATCATATGAATATTTCAATTAAAGCCAAAACAGTAAGCTTGGGAATATTGATAGATTTGTAATATAAGCTTCAAACATTTTGTAGTATCTTCACGATTTATTGTATAAGTCAATAAACTCGCATGCTAATTACAAGTATTAATACTTATTTTTAAAGCCAAAATTGTAGTCTATAATATACATGTAATATAAGACTTGAAACTATAATATTTTCTGACAATAAGCTGTGAAAGTTGAAAGTTATTTGATTTACGATTAAGAAAGGTATTATATGCACATTTTAACAAATTATTGGTATTTTGTATTTGTATATTTTGTACCCTAAACAAGTTATATTTTTGACATTCGTGTTTTTCCTGTAATCGACTGTCAAATTTGAATAAACGATTTTTTGAAGGAAGAGTCTTTTATTTTGCCGAATTTCTAGATAACTATGATAAGGACAAAGATCACTAAATAATCAATTTAAAGCTAAAACTATAGGCTATAAAACGTGATATAAGATTTATTTGTGCTGTTAGTAATTTGTTAGTAATCGACTATCAAAAAGTGGAAAAAGCAATTTTTAAAATTACCGAAATCCTCTACAAGTGTCTTTGCAATTTACTTAAAATCTCGAAAACTAATGTATGTAGAATATATAAATACAGATCTATTAAAGAAAAAACTATAGTGAATTGAATGAGATATGATTGAAGTTTGTCGTTTTCGTAATTTTCATGTCATAAACTTTCAGAAATTTAGATTTTTTTTATAAACATGAAAAACTAATGTCTTAATATTTTACATAATTACTAGAAAACAAGTTATATTTTTGACATTTGTGTTTTTCCTGTAATCGACTGTCAAAGTTGAATAAACAATTTTAGAAGGAAATTTCTCTATAATTATGATAAGGACAAAAATCACTAAATAATCAATTTAAAGCTAAAACTATAGGCTATAAAACGCGATATAAGATTTATTTGTGGTGTTAGTAATTTGTTAGTAATCGACTATCAAAAAGTGGAAAAACTTATAAAGTTAGATTACATATTAAAAATGTATCTTAAAGAGAATAATGCGTACAATCAAATGGGCCTAGAACTATTTATGTAGTATAAACAGATTTTTAATTATAAATCTCGAAATATATTGTCTTTTTATGATATTTAATTGCTTCAAAACTAATAAAAACAGAATGTAATGTGAACATGGATATTATAAACAAAACTAGATAGAATCAATGTAGTCTAGAAGAATTTCTATGGTTAGTATATTTGTACCATTGAATTAATATGTTAGTGCCAACTTGATACTATCAATGTCAATCAATACCAACGTTATTGTTTGAACGTCCGAACTGAAATACTGAAAGTTGACATTCATCTTGCCGCAGCGAAGCAGCCAAGTGGTTAATGTGAATCGGCGTTTAAGTAAGATATTTTATGGGATTTAGCAGTAAAATAGCGGCGGAATAATGAGGATATGATATAATATGTGTGTGTGTGTATATTTAAGTTTTGAATAATGGACGGACCAGCTGGTCCGCTTTATGCGAAGGCATGTGGCAAAATCAATATGGGAGGCGGTGGCGCGAACTGGCGGCGCTGCCCGGAACTTCTATTGTTAAAAACACACACACACACACACATATTTATATATACAGACGGAGCACACACACACACAGACACACAGAGTCGACCGCCGCTGCCGTATTACATCACAATATTACATTTTAATATTGCAAAAAGGTCCGGTTTCCACATTTACCAAAAATTAGCACAAAATTAAATAGGGCTAAAATAATGTTTATGGAAACATTTGCTATTCGACGTGTATCATATATATATATATATATATATACATACACCAATTTCATTTCTGTTTTGTTTGTGGATTTATTTTTGGTCGGATTTCGGTAATGATCTATTCATCATTCATGCTGGATATTTTCGGTTCGGATTTTTTTTTTAATTATAAACAAATTTCAGTATCATTAAATATCACGGAGCAACGAATGATACATGCACATCCATGGAGTGATGTGTATTTGTATGTGTGTGTGTGGAGGAGCTTCGGTTGGGGGAAAATGATTAATTGACGCGCCCCCGTCGATCGGTTATTCATGACGAGGCCGCTTTTTCACTACACTAAATTTTACAACCCCTTTCCGAAACGCAAAAATATTAACCTCTGGTGCGGAAACACTAGGCAGAGCAGAGCAAAATGTAATAAAAAAACATCATATTCATATATCATTTGGCAACCCAATTCACAATTTCGACTAAATTTTATTCAACACACTAACATAATTGTTAAGATATTGTAACAATAATTTAATGCCAATTGATATACATTCAAAAAATATATTTTAAAACAAGAATAATTTTAGTACAAACTTAATATTAAGAATTTTTTGTATTATACATGTTTTTTTATAAAATTTAACGAAAATGTTTAGAAACAATACTTTACGTAACGAAAGAGAAAAATATCGACATCTGTTACGAAAACACTAGACGCAAATCTAAATGTTAATAAATTAAAGAAACATTTGACAACCCGATTCACAATTCGCCTAAATTCTGTCCAACATACTAACATAAACAGTAAGATTTTTGCCTATATTTATCTATTTATACTACTTTTACTTAAAGAAATAATAATAATAATTTTGTAGAAAACTTATTTTTTTTATAAAATATTTACCTAATTTGCGAAAATGTTTGGAAACAATTATTTACTTTCTAAAATGTAATAATATTAACCTCTATTCGTACATCAAAATATAGGTATATCATTTCACAACCTAATTCACAATTTCGCCTAAATCCTGTCCAACACACTAACATAATTGTTAAAAATTTTGCCTATATTTGGTACAATAATTTTGTAACAAACTTTTTTCTTTTTATAAATTATTTACCTAATTTGCGAAAATGTTTGGAAACAATTATTTACTTTCTAAAATGCAATAATATTAACCTCTATTCGTACATCAAAATATAGGTATATCATTTCACAACCCAATTCACAATTTCGCCTAAATCCTGTCCACCACACTAACATAATTGTTAAGATTTTTGCCTATATTTATTGTAACTATCTTTTATTTTCTTTCTTAATACCAATTGATTTGAAAACAAAACAAAAATTGTAACAAACTTATTACTAATAAATAATAAATTTCTCTGTGATTCTGATGAAATTTAATCTAAATGAATTTTACCAAAATATTAATAATTATGAACGTTCTTTGTGAAAGGGTTTGGAAATAGTTTTATAAAAATTTCTAGATTATGTTTTCAAAACATATTTATTCTTTGTAAAATTAACTAATTTGAATATATTTTGATAAAAACGTATAAAGATTTTTATAAAAAGATAATTTTTGTTATTGTTTGTTGACAATATGCTTTATATAACAAGTGTACCAACTTAAAACATAGTTATTTTTATTTTAAAAAAAATATTATTAACTTTATGATTAACTTTAATAAGTTACCTTTATTGTTGTTTATGAATTATATTAAATATGTTAGATGAAAGTAAATGAGCGAAAGGTAATAAATCCGGTAATGAGACGAAAGTGTTGGCAACTAGAATAAATGAAACGAAAACGATTCGGAATTGCAAAAGTGTTATGCCATTATGAAGAGGCATTGTTGCCACGGTGATAGCAATTACGTGAACAACGGGGCGTTAAGTGTCTAAATTTTAATGAAATTAACTTGGGAATAGTAGTGGAAGTAGTCTCGTGCAGGTTTCGCGTGTTCCCTAACATTAATCCTCCCCGCCCGCTCTCCTTTCTGTTTATATTCGATTATTTATTTCATCATCATCATCATCGGATCCCTGTTCTTCGCGCGTTACAAATCGCGATTAGACATGCCATCTCGCACGTACCGAAACAGGGGAACACAAACCACATCCCTTCAGCGCGCGCCAAATTTGAATTTGTTTAAGGGTAGAAACAATAAAGGGTAATTTAATTCGGGGGTGGTCGTTGTTGCGGATTAAATGATATATTAATTTGCGTCCAACCGTAAATCAACCAAGTCATTAGACGCACAAAAAAAGGGCGAAAAAGGGTTGAGTTTTTTTTTTAATTTTATTTTTAAATAATGAAAGACAACAACATGTATTACCAACATGAAATAAAAACTGAGTTGTCGGATAGAGACACACGTTCATTTCTCCGAGAACAAAAGCGAATCGTTGGTCGGGTCCATTAATCAACACGCGCGACAGTCAGGAACGCCCAGAGTCGCGGAACCGGCCAATCACCGACCTTGTCCTAACTTATTTACAAACACCGAATCGATCCACTTCCGGTTTGGTCAATACCCACACTCACACAAAAAAATAAACGAGTAAAATCAAATTCGAATCGATGAAATAAATACAGCAATATTATCAAAATCAACGCAATCAATATGATTTCGTTAGAGATGCAGTTTTCTCAAGCATTTGAATTTAATTAAACTAGCGCCCTCTTCGAGCGAAGCACCGCAGTTCCAACACATTCAACAGCTCAGTTGGTTTGGTTGCATAAGCAAAGCTTAGTTCTCTGTAAAGCGGTAGAGAGCTGTAGCAGCGCCGCGACGCCTATCGCCGGGAAGCCACACTAGATTAACACCTGTTGCGTAACTTGGCGGGAGATTATTCGAATTTGAAAATCGAAAAAATTGTAATCAACGCAACGCGCAACGAAAACAATCCGGCGATTTCGCAACAAGCTATTTCTTCGCGTGTTTATTTGCTTCTTCTCCTTTTTTTTTTGTTGTTGATAACCAAAATCGTTATCTCCACAACGGCACCACGTGTAAAGAGAGGCACGGCGGCGTTGCCAAAATCGAATTTTCAAAATTATTTTGGAAAAAAACCATTTCGAAAAATGTTTTATCAACGTTCAAAAACGATTCGTTGAGTTTCTAAATCAGTTCTAATCACATGTAGAATTATTTAATAGGGATAGTTTATACTGTTTTGGGGGTGAAATTAGGGTTTACCAAAGGGTCTTTAACTGTTACTATTATTGGCAACGTGGCATCGGTAAGAAATTTCTACTAATCTTTTGTACCCTGTTGCTTCTTGCACAGTTGAACTTCCCTGTTAAAAGCAGTTAAAAGAAAGGACGAAACGAAAGAGCACGAGTTTCCAAGATCTATAAGAAAAGAAATTTTATTTGAAATAATTTTACGTGAAATCATAAAGAAATCAATCGGTAAGTTATAATTACAAACATTCTTAAGATTTGATTTGATTTTTGGAGGGAACCCAAAAAAAAAAAACGTAATGTGTAAAATGGCGCGTTTATAATAATTTCCATTTACTTTCTAACTGTAATTATGATTAGATTAGATTGGTAAATTAGTTCTAAATTGTGTTTTAAGTTAACTTTGAAGACTTAAAACAAAAACAACACGATTTAACGATTTGCAGTTTTCAATTTTGGCACGTCCTTGAAGTTTACATTGATTTCGCCTGTTGCACAAGAGAGGAGAGAGCGACTAGATTAGATTAGACAATTTCGTGATAAGCTCTTAATAATTTTTGGCCCGTGTTTTTGTTTCAGTTATGTCTCTGTCAGTGGCTTTCGCTCTTTCCGGATTGGGTGGCGACGATAATCTTTGGGGTGGCGATTTTGGCGAATTCTACAGAAAAGGTGAAATGCTCTTCCCTAACGGAATTCCGAAGAGCCCCAGCGTTTCGTCCATCGCGTCCACTGCGAGCTCTTCTTCGAGGTACTCATCTGAGAGCGGTATCGCATCGATGTCGGATTTGGGAAATTCGTATCAAGCTTTGGAAGAGCTAATTGACAATGTTTTCGATGAACAAGGATTTAGAATGGTTGCACCAAAAATTAAAAAGATATTACCGGTAAGCAACAACAACAAATACAACGTAATATTTCACGAAACAATCAACATTGTTATCATTTTTGCACAAACAATTTATTTATTTAAAAAACATAGTTTATTGATAATCAACTAATTTCATATCATAAACACAAATAAACGTATTTAATCTTTTTCGAACCGTATTTAACGTTTTGTTTAGATTTCTTAAATATTTACTTATTTATCATGCTTCGCACACAATAATCTTAATCAAATTCCATTAATTTAATTAGATTCACAGAGAATTTTTATAATTAAAAACATTAATTAACATTTATAAAACGATGATTTAATAATCTTCAAAACAAGCAGTTACATGTAAGTTTACTTTGTGCCAAGTAAATAAACACAAATTTAACTTATTCTTGTCTAAAAATTATCTTATCTAATGAATCATTACATTGCAGCAACTTCGTAATAAATGCTTTAAATTACGTTTATTATCAAATTTCGTTCTCTGTTTTGCAATTCACATAAAAGAAAAACGACAACAAACTTATCTAACCCATTCAAATCACACAATTTTAAATATCAATAAATAGTATTATTTCAGATATTGTAAATATCATAAATATTACGTTTATTATACATAAACAAGTAAGATTTGCGAGTTATCCAAATAACACTTTGAATCTGTATCATTAATGCTACTGTCTATTCACTAAATTTGCATTTCATGTTTGTTACAGTGCAAAAATCATTGTAAAAACTTGCATTTAAACCACAAGTTTACTTAACTCTAAAATTTAAGCACTAGATTCAAGAAGAAAAAAATGATTTTGATCTTTATGTTTGATTTTTCTTTAATTGCAAATCTTTCGTTTAAGAACGAAGTGAAAATATTTTAGTCGAAACTAAAATCTTAAGTAATTGTTGCAAAACTTAAATTTCAGATTGCAATTGAATATGAAATGAAAAAAATAAGTTATTTTTTTTATTGTAAAATTCAAAAATTTGGTTTTCTTTAAATGCAAAATTTCCATTTAAGTTTTTACTTAACTGTGATTAAGTTTTAAGCACTTGTCGTAAAATGAATTGAATTGTCGTAAAATACATTGAATTGAAATGTGGAAGTTTTAGAGAGAAAATCCAAAATTCATCATTATCTATTTTAACTGCAAAACTTCAATTAAAGTTATCAAAAGAGTTATTAATTTAATTAAAGATTTTATTTAACTCTAATTGATGTATAAACAAAAGAGACAACAAGTTAGTTAAAAGTTTTAGTTTAAAGTATGTCTTAATCAATTGTTGTAAAATTGAAATTAAAAAAAAAAAACATTGTTGAATAAGAACGTAAATTAGTTATAAAGACTTGGAGACAAAATCCAAAATTTGTCATTGATTATCTTTAAGTACAAAAAAAATAAGTCTTAAGCAATTGTAGAACTTAAATTAGAAAAACATTGTTGAATGCGAACGTAAATGAATTAAGTACTTTCACGTGTTTTTTACTGAGAAAATCCAAAATTTGTCATTGATTATCTTAGTATAGTAAAAAAAACTTCCACTTAAGACTAAAATTATTAAAATAGACATTAATTTAGTTAAAATTTAGTCAAATTCAAATTCGAATTTTTTTTTTCTATTGTCGATTGCTTGAAATAAATTTGGAATAAATAAGGATTTTGATGATTTCTTTACAGTAAATGACTTCCACTTAAGACTTAAGTCTTAAGTAGTAATAGTCAAATTTAAATTGAAAACACTTTTTTTCTATTGTTGAATGCTTGAAATAAATTAGGAATAAATAAAGACTTTGATGATTTCATTAGAGTATATGACTTCCACTTAAGACTTAAGTTAGAATTTTACTTAACTTTGATTAAGCAGCAATAGTCAAATTTAAATTAAAAACACTTTTTTCTATTGTTGAATGCTTGAAATAAATTAGGAATAAATAAAGACTTTGATGATTTCTTGAGAATGAATGACTTCCACTTAAAACTTAAGTTAGAATTTTACTTAACTTTGATTAAGTCTTAAGTAGCAATAGTCAAATTTAAATTGAAAACACTTTTTTTTTCTATTGTTGAATGCTTGAAATAAATAAGGATTTTCATGTATTTTTTACAGTAAATGACTTTCACTTAAAACTTAACTTATCAAAATAGACAATAATTTAGTTAGAATTTTACTTAACTTTGATTAAGTCTTAAGTAGTAATAGTCAAAATTAAGTTGAAAACACTTTTTTTCTATTGTTTGTTCTATTGAATGCTGTTGAATAAGTTATCAAAATAGACAATAATTTAGATTGTTTAAGTCTTAAGCTGTAGTTGTAAAATTTAAATTCAAAAAAACGTTTTTTTATTATTAAATGTGTTTGTTTTAACGAAATGGACTAATTCTTATATACTTTCAGTCTTTAAATTATCCGCTGAAGAAAGATGAAGAGGACAAGGATAAATCTGTGACGGTGATGTACCAAGGCAGAGATTTGCTGGATCTGTACAAGAACATCTCCGGAAACTCGTACACCAGATCCAATTCAGCGGTGCTCGCATGCGGCATCGGCACCTTCTACTTCGAGAACCGATCTCAGTATTCCCGTTTGCAGGGCGCTAGACCGCCACCTCACGCGATTCTCTCGTGTCCCGACTGTTCTTTCACCGAATCCAAATACGACTGAACACACTAGATGTAGATGCTATAATTGTGATACGAAGCAATATTTTTTTATATATACATACATGTTTTACTCGTTGTTTTGTTCGGCGTTACGTGTTATCTGTTTCATTTATTATTATTCATTCATTAATTAATTAATTAACTAACGCGGTTCGAATGTTCGAACCGAAGTGCGCTCAAAACCAATTAATTTATTTTCTTTATTATTTTCGAAACTTGACGACGCATCTTGGACCTCTCGGTTTATTCTGATTTTGTGCATACATATCAGCTGGTATGTATACTGGAAGCTCCAATTTGACATCTCCAAGTTTACATGCAAATGTTACTAATTGACGCCACTTATCCTACATATTTTTTTTTGGTATTTGTTTAATTATTATTTTATTTTTTTTTTACTTACAACTCGTCCGTTTCGTTTCGTGTTTTAATTTAATTATGTTGTGTTTTTATTTTACGTTGGAAGTTGTGCGAAGTCTAGTCCAGTCCTAATTACTTACATAGCAAAAATTTATTTTGTTAGAAAAATCAAAAACAAGATTGAATTTCAATCACGACTAAATTGTTGAGCCAACTTGATTGTCCGTAATGGCGGCAAATTTAAATCATTGATCACGTGATTATTATTATTATTTTTTTTTATATATAAATACGTTTGTGACTAATTATATTATAGTATTTTTTGACTGTATTACCGATTGTAATAAGAAGAAAAAAAAACAAACAAATGAAAGACTGAAGAATAAAAAAAATGTATTAATATTACGCTTTCGTCTGTTTATTTCTAGATCATAACTTTTTCCTCACCCCTATTTTATGTGTGTGCGCATTCTCTCTATCTCTGTTTCTCCTATGGAATCGTTGGTCTGTCGGCGTTAGGCGGTTTTATTACGCGTGAAATATGTAATAATCCGCCCCGCCGATATTGTTCTTTTGTTACATATGATGGGGTAAATGTATGCGGATTGTCGTAATAGTTTTATGAAAGGGCCCACAGGATTTATGCTGATAATGACAACAAAAGAACGGGGCTCCCATGTATAGAGGAGACAATGGAATAGATGCGAACCATGCACAATTTATTATCTCCTTAGGATATAGGGAAATTTTCTCTGCTGCTTTCCACTTTTCCTTATTCTTCCGAGTCTGGTTGGTTGGCTGGCTGGCAAAGCGCGCTTCTTCCCAAATCCAGCTGAAAGATATGCACGGGGATTTGCGCATCTCGAGGATTTCCTCTTATAGTTATACAGAATTCGAGAAAGAAACGTGAAGCTTTACAACGTGAGTTTGTTGTGAGTATTATCCAGTTCGGTCATTGTTTAATCGTCGTTAAATTAACGCTCGGTCATCCGATAGATGGCGCTCGTAGTCCTATCGAAAGCTCTGAAGCTCAGTATATAATACATCATCAAAAAACTTGATATAGTCAATCAATTATAAACATAATTCATAAATTTGAGCAAATCACTGGATTTCACTCAGTAAAAATTAGCAAATCACTGTTTTTATATATTATAATTTACGTATCAGTAATGTAAATAATCCATCCCCTAGTTAATCTTTGTAGTGAAATTTTCAATTTTCTTTTATAATGAGAATCATAAATCAATAATTCATAAACAGAATTATAACTTTGAGTATTTCTTTCTTAAATACTCAAAGTTTCATTTCTTCCAGTGGCAATCGCAAGCCCGACAACCGAAATCCCGGCTGGAAATCCTGACTATATCGAAATCCCGACAGTGTCTTTAATTATTATAAATTTCTACAATAACATTTCTATGGTAGTTGTGATTTTGATTGTCGGTATTTTGGTGGTCGGGATTTCGATACAGTCGAGATTATGGTAGTCGGGATTTCAATAGACGGTCTTTCGGTTGTCGGGCTTGCGATATAGACCCTATATCTTCAATCTTCCAGAATGAAAATCATGTTTAAAATTAAATAAAAGTTAAAAAGACTTCAAACTACAGACTTATTATGTAATGAATCTTCAATCTGCCCGAATAAACTTGATGGTTAAAGTTAACTAGAAGTTAAGAAGCTTTAAAATACACTCTCTAATTATCATATAATGCATTTATTAATCTTTCTTTAAACATTTTTTTTCTAAACATGTACAAATATTTTATTTTCCTTGAAACTTATTTTGTAAAGAATTTAATAATCTAAAAAAATAACTTTTCACTGGAAGATTGTAGGAATCTCTTGAAATAAATCATCCAATTACTTAACACTTACAATTACAATTACTTAAAAATATTAACTTATTTCTTGTTTTCAAATCTTTATTTTTAAGACAAATTTCACAATTTCTTTTTTCATCAGAAATTACAAATTCAATAACTATGAAATGTTAACAATATTATTAATATTTCTTCTTCAAGCAAAATTACTTTTTTTTACCAGAAATTAACAAAAGTATAAAATACTAGTTACCAAAAATATTTATATTTAACATCTAGGTCATATATAAAATCTGTTCGCTCAAAACTTGATATATATCAAGTTTTGAGCGGATGAGAATCGACAAATTTCCCAGAAACATCACAATGTTTAAAGTTTTGTTTAAATCTAAACTAAACTTTTGTAGCGTTTCCACGAATCTGTTTTAGGTATCATGCAAAGTATTCGTGAATTGGATTTCATTATTTTCAACATTTCTGTCTCCTTTTTTCTCTCCTTCTCTTTTCCATTTTCTTTCAATTCATTTACGTTTCTTTCTCATGTTCCTCTTTTTTTTTAATTTTCTCTCTCTCTCTCGTATTATTTCGTTCTCTTCTGGGCACCGGGGGATTTAGTGAATTGAAATGGAAATTGGAATTCTTTGTAGGTTCGTTAATGCCAAACACAATGAGGCATTAATTAAAAGCTCCGTTTTGTAATTGGCAAAATTAAGTTTTGGTCCGACGTATAGAAGCTATATATATATACTTATGTATAGTACGAGGGGATTCCCCGCTCGAATGGGAATCATTTATGTTGAAGATGTGTGTGTGTGGATCGTGGATAGTTTGCGTGAATGCCTTCCAGACGTCGGATTTCCACATTTATATAGAAATTCTGGACTTTCTCTCTCTCTCTCTCTGGACTTCTGTTTGTATGCAGAAGTTGAGAGGAGAGATGAAGAAGCGCGTGGACAGTGGATGAGGAGGTGGTGGTGACCACTGGGATAGATAGAACATAGGAGGCGACGGCGGTGGTGGCGGAGCGGTGAAGGCGGCAGAAGCGGTGCGGTCCTATTGTGTCCCTTTCACAATAACCGACCCATTGAACGTGCATATTAGATAGGGACGTTCATCATTTCCCCATTTATAAAGCAATCGCTTGATTATTGCATTGCATAATGGCTAGTTTTAGTTCTCGCGGTGCATAATTCCCCACCGATTATTAATCAATTATAAAATCTGATGAGCAATTTACTTACGTCTCTCCCAGGACAATTCAACAACAACAAAAACACGCAATCAGCATATCCGATGATATACTTTGATCTAACTCTTTTATCATCTTCTTTTAAAGTACATTTCTATAACAAACCATACATCTATTAATCATTTAATTCATATAAGATTACTTCAAACTTGACTTTAACTTTGATTTCTTCGTTCTTATTATAATTATTTTTTAAATAAACCATTGAGAAACTCTAGTTATCTGTTAAAATATAGTTACATAATAAATCATACATCTATATCAGCCTATAACAAACCATACATATATTAATCATTTAATTCATATAAAGATTACTTCAAACTTGACTTTAACTTTGATTTCTTCGTTCTTATTATAATTATCTTTTTAAATAAACCATTGAGAAACTCTAGTTATCTGTTAAAATATAGTTACATAACAAATCGTACATCTATATCAGCGTTTCTCAACTTATAGTTGGTTAAATTGTAATGAATCACGATTTGACAGCTGTCACTTTGGATCAAAACGTCAAAATAATATGTTATAAACAATTGGATCGCAGTACAATTGATATATTGGTTACAACTTGTTTTTTCTGGTTAGCATTCTCGTATTTTAGAACGCAGAATAAAAATAAAGTCTCCAATTCATGACATCTTTCCTTATAATATTGTTTTTTCTTTTTCAAAACATTTAAAAATTCTTACTTTTTTCTTGTGAATTGAATAATTACTACCTACCTACCTACCTACCACTCTCTCACTCCCACCCGCAATTCCGACCACCTACCGGGATTATTCCGATTCAACTTGCAAAGACAAAACTTCTCCTCTCATGATTAATCAACAAATAACAAGCAGTCATCGAGAGAAAAACGAGTTTCTAAATATTGATATTACATGTTTTATCCATGTTCTAAACTTTGATGTTCAAATCATTGACATGAAGAAATTTAGACTACAAATATATCGTTAAGCGAGGTTTCACTGTATATTCAAAATATATTAAAAAAATACACATAATAGTTGTACACAATTTCAATTTCATTTTTATCAGCGTTTCTCAACTTATAGATGTTTAAATTGTAATGAATCACGATTTGACAGCTGTCATTTTGGATCAAAACGTCAAAATAATATGTTATAAACAATTGGATCGCAGTACAATTGATATATTGGTTACAACTTGTTTTTTTCTGGTTAGCATTCTCGTATTTTAGAATGCAGAATAAAAATAAAGTCTCCAATTCATGACATCTTTCCTTATAATATTGTTTTCTCTTTTTCAAAACATTTAAAAATCCTTACTTTTTTCTTGTGAATTGAATAATTACGAAATGTTATTCATTTTTTAAATACCTTCTAAAATGACAGCTGTCACAAATCATCAAAACGTCAATTTTATGTTATATTTAGAACTTGTTTTTAGGTAAATTCAACAAAGGCTCCCTTTTTCAAGTTAACATTAACATAAGTTTACTTTTGATATTTTTCGTAATTTTAGTTGAAAAATATTAATTTTCAATATTTTTGTATTTTTTTTTCATTCATAAATATTTTAGACTAATCATACTTGTGTAAAACAATTGCAAATAATATTATTAATATTCAGTATTATAAATGTTTGTTGATTAAAGTAATATATTTTCTGAGTATGATTTGGCTGAAGACGGTCCTGGCTATAATCGCGATGATTTGTCGTGTCTCGGGATTTCGCGTGCGATGGATGAGCGAGAATAGCAGTAACAATAATAATAATAATAATATGAAGAATAAGAAACGGAGGAAACGGTGATTGAAAGTTGTGTCAAACATTGTCCAGCATTTTGAAAGGAGTCTAAAATGACTTCTTTGCATGTCACCATTGACAACAAAAGTTGCCTATTGTTTAGCTAAACAATACCATCATATCTCCTTGGTGATGAAAGGACGTCGTCTCTCTCGCGAGCACACGGTTCATCTCTATATCTGTCCTTTCCATTATCACGGCTCTCTTTATGTATGGCTCGATGCGGCATTCAGAACATAACAATGGGAAATGCGGTGACATTTTTATCGTGTGTACATAGAGGATAGAGAGAGAATCCGTTGCATGGATTCGCGATTATTGAATGTCACACGCTTTTGATGACTATCTATATCTATATATCTCTCACTCACTCACTTCTATAATATGCCTTTCGGTACCGTTGATCCCGAAAAATTATCATTTACTTGATGACAAACACAGGACAACAAACCAA